TATGGGGTGATCGTTATTTACCGCAGGTAAAAATTCTACCTGTTGTTGATTTAGTCATTACACATGGTGGTAATAATAGTGTTACTGAAACATTTGCACAAGGTAAACCAATGATTATTATGCCATTGTTTGCTGATCAACATGATAATGCACAACGTTTATCGGAAAAAAATTTGGCAATTAAATTACCACCATATGATTTTACTGATGAACAAATGATCGAATCGATTGATCGTTTACTTTATGATAAAGAATTAAATCAACGTTTATTACGTGCATCAAAACGTATACTACAAACTGATAAACATGAAATAGTTTGCGATATGATTGAAAAAATTTTAGAAAATTGTTAATTTAACTGATAAAACATTTATTTTTCTCAATTTTTTTTATTACTTACTTTTTGTAATCATTAAAACACAAAAAACACTCTTTTAAATCTAATCACATCCAACAACAAAAAAAAACGACATTATCTTATCATTAAAAAGTGATGATCTTTTAGTGAATGATCCGATGAAATTGCTATTTAAGCTTAAAATAAATCCTACCATTCAATTATAAAAAAAATCAACAAAAAATTTTTTTGGTAAAATATGGAAATGAGCAACCAGAAAAAACGAAAAATCCTATTTGCACCCATCAATGGTGTTGGTCATGTAAATGCCTGTATTAGTATTGCTAAACCATTATTCGATCGTGGTCATCGTATTGGATTTTTTGTTGAAACTACTTATAATGGAAATCTAAAAGAACTGGGTTTTGAAGAATATTATTATGAACCATTTTTTTATATGAAACATAAAAATAATGAAGATGAAGATAATGATAAAACCAATTTGGAAAATATTCAAAATCCAGGTGAATCAACAGCACAATGGTTAATTGATAAAAAAATTATTGGTAAACAAGATCCATTTGAGCAATTGCAAAAATTTACTGAAAAACCTGATCAATATTTATTGGAAAAACGTTTAGAAGATATTGAAAAATTTAAACAAGTTATTAAAACATTTAAACCAGATTTATTTATGATTGATCATTTAATGTTGGAACCAATTATTGATTGTTCGGGTAAACCATGGATAAAGATTATTAGTACAACACCATTATTACATTTATATGATTTTGATCATCTACCACCGGCATGGACAGGTTTGTTTTCATTTCAATCAGAATTAAATTTATTGACAAATTTTGTTTTTTTTGTTTTGTTTTGAACATAGGATTATCATCTGATTCCGATCGAAAAGAATGGCCAAAATATCGTGAAATAATCGATCAACTTATATTTAATAAAGATTTTAATGATTTTAATGAACAAAATGGTTATAGACGATATGAAAATGATTTACTAATGCCACCAACTCAAGCATTGACAATTTATGCCTATCCAGAAGAATATAATTACCCGGAAATCAAAGAATATCATCCGGATTGGTTTAATTTAGAAGTTTTCAATAAAAATGAATCAGGTGAAAAAATTGATTTGAAAGAATTTTTACCAAAAGATTTCTATGAAAATGATTTGAATGGAAATTGGTCGGGTAAATGGATTTATGTTTCGATGGGTTCAATGGGATCAGTAGATTTGAATCTGATGCATCGTTTGATTGAAGTTTTATCTAAAACTAATCATAAATACATTGTATCGAAAGGACCACGCCATGAAGAATATGAATTAACTGGTAATCTATGGGGTGATCGTTATTTACCGCAGGTAAAAATTCTACCTGTTGTTGATTTAGTCATTACACATGGTGGTAATAATAGTGTTACTGAAACATTTGCACAAGGTAAACCAATGATTATTATGCCATTGTTTGCTGATCAACATGATAATGCACAACGATTATCGGAAACAAATTGGGCAATCAAAATACCGCCATATGATTTTACTGAT